AAAAGACAGACATCCAATCCCTCTAGTCAACAAAGAAAATCAACCACGAGAGTCATTGTTCCAATGTTCAAAGTGGCTGAGATTTCTTAAAAGCAGCAGTTTGAGGGAAGCTCTGGTGGCCTAGTGGCAAGAAGCTGCACTGCAATCCCAGAGGAACACGGTTCGAATCCACCAGATGCTCTGCCGGAGAAGGAGACGCAATATCCTCCTGTACCAGTCAGATCTGATTTGAAGGTACACGCACACAAAATAAAATTTAAAAAAAAAAAAAAAGCAGCAGTTTGGGGAGCTCTGGTGGCCTAGTGGCAAGAAGCTGCACTGCAATCCTGAAAGGAGTGCAGTTAGAATCTACCAGCTGCTCCTCTGGAGAAGGAGGGCAATCACACACAGCCCCCCCCCCAACACCACCACCACGGGCAATCACACACACACGCAATCACACACACACACAGAGCCAATTCTCCCCGAGGATAGGCTCTCATGGGGAAGCGTGCCAGAAGGCCCCCTCTGTCAGGTTCACCTCAAAGCTGGAGCTCGCCCCAAAGCAATGCGAGCGCCCCCAAAGCAGGAGACTGAGTGCGGCCTGTACACGCGCTGCCATGGATGCAGACTAGCCTCCAGCCCTCGGCCGACAACAAGCTTCTTCTGCCTCCTCCAATCTCCACTGCCCCTTTTACAACCAGAAGGGGCAATACCCGGAATGAGAGCTCTGCCATCATGATGCTGGGGACACCAGGGTGGGGCCCATGCGGCGCTGGGGTCAGGGGCTGCCGGTTCGAACTTGGTCCCACGCATTTGCGTGTGGCCTCAATTTCCCACCTGCATGCCGGTGGACTGTTGCATTCTGGGGACCCCAGCGGTCATTCACCGGCGTCCATAGGCCGCCAAGCCTGCGCAGCACGGACATGGCGGTCGCGGCGGAGTGGCCAGGCGGCCTTCCCGCAAGTGGTGCGCCCCCTCGAGGACCGAGGCCCGCTAGAGCGCCCCCTGTGGGCGTGTCGCGGTGGACCCGCCCGCCCGATGACCTGACGCTCCCGGCCTGGCCTTCAAACCTCGAGGGGCTCTCACACCACGCAGCCTCAGGGTCTTGGAATGAGACACACGCCTCTCCAAGTATTGCTCTCACCAGGAAGAGTACGTGGGAAAACTGCTCAAACAAGTGGAGACCAATTTTTTTTCTTTATTTATTATTTTGTGTATTTGTACCATCAAATCGGATCTGTGGTGAAGAGATGGTCCCTCCTCCAGCAAAGCATCTGGTGGATTTGAACCATATACGTCTGGGATTACAGTGCAGCTCCCTGCCACTAGGCCACCAGAGCTCCCTTGGAGGCCAATTTTCTTACATTTTCAGACCTTCCTCTGTGTCTGGCCTCAACCTCTGGGTCATTCTGGGATGACCTTTGACTCTCCAGGATCGAGAATGACTTCGTTCCTGCTCCTGCCAGGATTGTTGACCGAGAACAGTTCTTAAAAACCATCAACACCCAGCAACAATAACAAAGTTCAACAAACAGGGCAGCAAATGACAAATGCTGGCGAGGTTGTAGAGAGATTGGAACTCTTATTCACTGCTGGTGAAAAGATAAAATGCTACATCCACTATGGAAGGCAGTCTGGCATTTGCTCAAAAAGCTGGAAATGGAAACCGCATTTGACCCAGCAATTCTACTACTAGGAATATACCCTAAAGAAGCTTGAACCACAACTCAAATAGATGTATGCACACCCATGTTTATTGCTGTATTATTCATAATAGCAAGGATTAGAAGCAACCCTAGTGCCCATCAACAGATGAATGGATAGAAAAACTATGGTACATTCACACAATAAAATTGTGTGGATCTCATTGTGAATTATGCAGCGTTGAAAAAAACAATGAACTCATAAAACATTACACAACATGGAGGATCCTAGAGGACAAAATGTTGAGTGAAATATCTCAGTCACAAAAGGACAAAGACTGCATTATACCTGTTATAAAATAGGACAGACATGAGGGGTTTGGGGGGAGAGAATAGGAAAAGAGTGGATATTGATAATGAACACTGCAATGGAACAGATGAGGAAAAGAACTGAAAAGAATATATGATCAGGCATTATACTTATGACTACAATCTGGAACAAGAGGTGCACTGTGTAGTGGGATAGAGGAGGGAGAGGGGTGAAGAAAATGTGTAACAATGAATTTTAAAAAATAAAAATCCAATCACCAACTAGACTGCAAAGCAAAAGCTATGTTTCTGTTGGCCTCTCATGAAAAATCTCATGTGAGATAATCCATCTTAAATATTTTCAAATCTAAGAACTCACTTTGGAAGTGGGTGCTTCAGGAAGATGCACAGATGAAACAGAAACTGAAACAGAAACCCCAGTGTCATCAAGTGTATCATTAACAATATTATTACCTTACAATAACAACATCATTAATATCACATACAAGTAAAATCTTGCTGAAGGTTATTGAAAGTGGCTGGAACAGTTCATCTACTGGGAACTGCCAGAAATTCAGGCTGGATTCAGGAGAGGCCAGGAAACTAGGCATATCATTGCTGATGTCAGATGGATCTTAGCTGAAAGCAGAGAATAACAGGAAGATGTTTGCGTTTTATTGACTATGCAAAGGCATTTGACTGAATAGATCATAATAAATTATGGATTTCTATTTCCAAATTTTTGAGAAAGCACAAAACTACCTTCCATAGTGGTTGAATCATTTTACAGTCCCACCAGCAGTGAATATGTGTTCCAATCTCTCCACAACTTTGTCAACATTTGTTGTTTACTGTTCTGTTGAACTTTGCTGTTGCTGGGGCCAGTGGATGTTCTGAGGCTCTAAATCACATGGGAGGACATTGCCTTTATTTCTCTTGCAGAGGCTCTAGTGGACTTGAACGCCTGAGGAGTGTCACCTTTGAGTTAGCAGTGCACTTCCCTACAGATTAAGCTACCAGAGCTCCCTTGCCATTAATTGTTGTACACACACACACACATATTCACTATCAAGTTGGTTACAACTCAGAGACCCTATGAAAAAAAGATCCGAAGCCTGTCCTAGCCTATGCCATCCTCATCTCTGACATACTTGAACTATTGCTGCAGTCACTGAAGGTTTTCCTCTCTTTTCACTGACCCTCTAACTTCCCAAGATTAATGTCCCCAAAACTATGGCCCTTAAAGTTTTTGTCCTTATTTTTAATAATCTTTATTGTTTTGTTTTATAGTTAAGTCTTTGATCCATTTTGAGTTTTTGTATGTTGTTGTTATGTGCTGTCGAGTCTACTCCAATTCATAGAAACCCTTTGTACAACATCCCTGAACCCTGCTCTATCTTAAGCCAACTTCATTGTCTCAGACACACTTATCCTCATTACCCCAGTAACTGGGTCAATCCATTTCATCCAGGGTCTTCCTCCTTGTGCTGTCCTTCTACCCTTCCAAGCATGATGTCCCCCTCCAAGGACTGGTCCCTACTGGCAACATGTCCAAAGTATGTCAGATGATGACTTCCCCTCCCCATCCAGTTTTGCCAGCACCATTTGTTAAAGAGGCTGTTGTCTCTCCTTAACTTAATAGATTAAATGTCTTTGTAAAAATCAGTTGTCTCTAAATGGATAAATTTACTTCTGGGTTCTTATACATAGTTTTCAACCAAGTTGTAAATCTTTAAGGCTAGAACTGCTCATTTTTCTACAGCAGAACTGCAGGGGGATTCCCATGGTTGTAATGCGTTGAGATGCTCTCAGAGATGTGTCTCCTCCCTCCCCCATTCCAAGGATTCTCACTATTGCTGGACAGTCTGACCAAGTACTAATTGGAGGTGGCAGTTGATAAAGAAAATTTATTTCAAATAAGAGTTGCCAAGTCATAAGACAGGATAGCTTTGAAGCACTGTTGTTAGGTGCCATCGAGTTGAGAATGACTCGTAGTAACCCTATAAACAGTGGATCTGAACACCGTCCTATCCTTTTCCATCTTCACACTTCCTGACACACTAGCGTCCATTGTGACAGTCACTGTGTTCATAGGATTTTCAGAGGTCTGTTATTTAAGAACTGAATGGCCAATCCTGCTTTCTAGTCTGTCTTAATCTGGGAACTCTACTAAAACCTGTCCACCATAGGTGACTCTTATGACATTTGAAACACCAGTGGCACAGCTTTCAGTATTATAGCAACCCACAAGTTATCTCAGTACAGCAAACTGACAGACAAGTGCAGTACCAATTAGAACAACAAACTGCCAATTTAGTTTGTATTTCTAATAGCAATTCCATCTTCACACTGGAAAACGGCTGCTTCAGAGGGATCTGCAATTCAGCTGCTCCTCACTTGGCCTACCAAACTGTGCTCCAGAGAAAGCAGTGGAGATTTTACTGTAGTTACTGCTTTTCCTTCCCCAAGGGTAAGAAAAGGTGTGTGGAATACACGTGTTTGCAAAGAAAGAAGACAAAGAAGAATACACACCAAAGCATTAACATTTACTCATTTAAAGACCTGTTACTTATTTAATGTCAAGTTCTAGGCTATAAAGAATTATGAGCTAGGAAGAGACTAGTTTGAGAGAAATGGATAGAACCACTAAATTGGATTTTTTTCATTATGTGATTTCCGCAAGGTGAAGAAATGGCTTCCTGTCAACAACTCAAAAAGTGCTAGCTTAAAGAACTCTCCCAACGCACAATTCTGGAAGCCTCTCTCTGCAGCTCCCAGGGTTCCTGCAGGGAATGAATGAATAGCTGGTATCCCACAGCGAGACACCAAAAGGCTCTAAGGTCTGCTCAAGGCCAGCGTTTCTCATACGGATCCGTAAGACAGGCTGTCGACCAGAGAAGCAATCACCTCCACCAATTTGGAGGTACATCTGTGGATTCACCGCGACCCACGCAGACATTGGTTCCATAGGGAGGGAGGCAGCACCGGAAACGGAAACCCCGGCGGGCTGGCGATTGGACAGAGAACCGGAAGTGGGCGGTGCCGTCCTTGGTTGGTGGTGCCGTGATGGCTGAAGCGGTGGCTTTGGCCGCCGTGTCCGTGAAGGCTCGGATGGCGCTCACCGTGCTAGGGCAGGTGGTGCTGCCGGGTGAGGAGCTGTTACTGCCGGAGCAGGAGGACGCGGAAGGGCCTGGCGGGGCCGGGGAGCGACAGCTGAGCCTCAATCCCGGGTCGCGCTCGCGGGTGCGCGTGGTGTGCGGCCCCGGGTTGCGGCGCTGCGGCGACCGGCTGCTGGTTACCAAGTGCGGCCGCCTGCGGCACAAGGAACCCGGCGGCGGTGGCGGCGTCTACTGGGTGGACTCGCAGCAGAAGCGGGTGAGCTGGGACTTGAGGGGCGATGTGGCAGCCAGAGGGGTATTCCTCCTCCGGGGGACTGCCTGGAAGAGGCGGGGTGGGGTCCCTCGCGTCTCCTTTATTGAGTTTGTGCCCAGCTCACTCCTTTGAGCAACCTTGAACAATAGGAATGTATCTTGAAACAGGCGAGCAGGGGAGAAGGGCATATGGAAACCTTAGAGATGATAAAGACTGTGACATATGGTCACTATGAAGGTCTGAAAGGGACTGACCTGTCTTCTTGAGCCCAGAGTACAGAACTGGGCTGAAGAACTTCCTTATAGGCAGAAACCCGGTGGAGGGTAGCACTGAGTCTGAATAAACTTGACAGTGAGTTTGTAACGGTGGAATGGGTTTCCTTGGATTTAAAGAACTCTGCCACAGGATGTGTGGAAGCTGAAGCCAGACAGTTTCTGGTAAGGATGCCAAAGAGGTTTTGGTTGGAATTAACAGACTATTGGAAGCTGCAAGACTCAGCTATTAAGCTTCTTTTTCATTGGCTGAAAGAGGCATATAATGAGGTGGTTGTAAATTTGTTTTAACTTACATTTCAAGTATTTTCTAAACATCTTTTTTAATGATAGACGTAATCGAGTAACCACTAAAGACCTGCTGGAAATGCTTGTAATTTATGAATGTTCTCTCATTCTGTTTCCTTTTGAAGTATGTCCCAGTGAAAGGAGACCATGTGATTGGCATAGTGACAGCTAAAACTGGAGATATATTCAAAGTTGATGTTGGTGGGAGCGAACCAGCTTCTTTATCTTACTTGGCATTTGAAGGTGCAACTAAAAGAAACAGGCCAAATGTGCAGGTAATGGTGGGAGTCTTTGGTTTCAAAAGTATGGGGGCAAGGTTTGTCCTGGAGAGGGTGAAGCCAGAATGTTCCCTGGAATCAAGGATTCTGAAGCTTCGTCTGACATATTTTGAGCATATTGCAAGGAGGGACTGGTCCTTGGAGAGGGACATCAAGTTTGGCAGAGTGGAGGGGCGGCGAAGGAGAGGAAGACCTTTGATGAGATGGATCGATTCTGTGACTGGAGAGGTGGGAATAAGTGCGTTTGAGATGGCTAGGTTGGCACAGGATAGAAGAGCGTATAGAGAGCTCTTGTACATAGGGTCGCTATGAGTCGCAGGCGACTCGATGTCACATAACAACAATAACAACAAAATATGAAAATACCCAGAAGGCTACTGAATCATTTCCAAAGTAAGACCACTTTTCCCAATTCTATAGGATGGTCCCTAACCATCTGGATAATCAATCACTTGGACTCCAAGAATTTCTTTAGGTTCTTGAATATATGTTTTATATTTGCAATATTGGGTCTTGGGCTGTTTTTTATTTACAGATTTGAGTAGTTGTTAACTTTTATCACCAGTATCATGAGAACTGGAAGTTAGCCATAGCCTGAGAGACAGTTACACAAACACCACCCATCTACCCATCTTGGTTGTAGGCCCTGGGATTGGCATTTCTCAATGTAGCCATACCCTTCATTGTCCACTCAGACCTTAAGTGGAGTCGTCATTGCCCCTTCTAATTCACTTCTCCTGTGTTTTCATTTGTTTTGTTTAAATCTCATTTTCCACACATCCACCCATCCACCCCTTGACTCGAACTTGGTCAGTGACCTCACTAACATTCCTACCTCCACACTTTTGCCTGTTTCCAGGCTTTTCAAAGTTGACATCCTCACATGCACCTTTTTTCAAAACACCCATGGACCTTCAGAGCCTAAATTTTTTGTCATGGTGCTCCAGGGGTCTTACCTCATCCATAATTAACAATTTTTATACAGCCATGCTTGAACATGCCATGCTACATAACAGCACTGTTGTAAATCGTAGCTGACCCTTCAGCAGGATTTTGGAGATTGTAAATTGCACAGGGGGAGGTTGCTCATCTTCTATGGAATAGATTCAAACTAGCTGCCCTTATGTTGGCAGTATAATTCCTTACTCATAGGCTTCTAAAGCACTTTTTTAAAAATTTTATTTATTTTTTTCAAAGCACTCTTTATAGCACTACTCAGTCCATAATTTCTTGTCCTTACTCCTTTGCTCCTGCTCTTCCCTGCATTCCTATTATGCTGTAGAACACATACTTTTTTCGAAGCCTGGGCCAACCACTAGCACCTCTATAAAGTTATCTGCCGTCTTTGACTCTGTTCTAGCATTTACAGCATTAGCTTTGAGTGAAAAAGTTTTTACTAGGTAGATCTCAAATGTCCCCAGCACACTATGCTTTTGAAGGACGGTAAATATTTTGCTTATCTTATAGTTCTCAGTCAATGTTTTGTTGAGTAAATAGAGTAAGTTCACTCTATTTCTTCAGTCCCCTCATTTTGAAATTTGGTTCTATGAGATTTTTAAGTAAATCTACATGGAGAATTACCAGTGCCTTACCATTGCTTTAGCAATGACAACATGCTGAAGTTTCTTCCTTTAGCCAGTAAATCTTCTAGAATCCTCTTGGACAGTGCTGTCTAATGATGCCACTATCTGCACTGACCAAGATAGTTGCCAGTAGCCACATATATTAAGGCCTACCTAAGTGTGACTAGTTCATTAATTAAATTTAAAGCTAAATAGCCATAATATGGCAAGCTAGTGGCTAATGTAACAAGTAGTGTAATTGGCATGTGCTGTCTTTGACCTGGCTTTCATTCTGAGATTTTCCCATTTTGTAAAGGTGCATGCTAACTCTGCCTTTTTTCAAGACTCCGTTTCAAACGACTAGCTTCTTAGCCACAGAACCGCAAGATGGTGGCATTCCTTCCTGTGGGAAAGAACCAATGGTATTCCCTGTTGATTTTTTTTTAGGGAGAATAACATTATTTTATTACATCATGCGCATGATGTATGGAATGCTTTCTTGAAATGATGTGGTTTTTACCCTCCTATTCAATCATTGTAGGTTGGAGATCTCATCTATGGGCAATTTGTGGTTGCTAATAAAGATATGGAACCAGAGATGGTCTGTATTGACAGCTGTGGACGAGCCAACGGAATGGGTGTGATTGGACAGGATGGTCTGCTCTTTAAAGTGACTTTGGGCTTAATTAGAAAGTAAGTTTCAATGCCTGTTGATTTACCTTTCTCTCTTTACTGTTCTGTCTTCTTAGAAAGCTGATTGGTCTTTAGAATTTGTATTCTTTGCAAAGTGATTTTCTTCTCAGAGATAATAGTATCCAGTTTGAGCAGTTTTTAAAGCCATGAATTTAGTCCATCTCCTTTAATTTGAATAAGATATATACATCAAATTTAAATGTCCTTCGCTGTGTAGTTTTAGTGTGGGTGTTGGTTCAGTCATCCCTTTCCCTATTTTTGCCTTCGCTCCCAGAATGCCTGTTGCTCTTCTAACTGCTGTGTTGTTAGGTATCATCAAGTTGGCTCTAAGCTTAAACTGACCCCAACAGGCGCAGAACCCATTCCTCACAGTTATTGCTGTGCTTAAGCCCATTGTTGAAGCCACCGTTAGTCCATGTCAGTGAAGGTTTCCTCTTTTTCCAGACCCTTTTTAATTTACCAAGCTTGATGTCTTCTTCCAGGGCTGGCCCCTCCTGTTAACATGCCCAAAATATGAAAGATGATGTTTCACCATCATTGCTTCAGAGAAGCAGCTGAGCTTCGTATCTTCCAAGAGCAATTTGTTGCTGCTTTTGGAAGTCGATGGTATAGTCAGTAATCTGCCAGCACCACAATTCAGAGGCATCAGCCTAAATGTGAAAACTGGCCTCCTCAACCCTCTATATTTGTAAATTATTTGAATATAGGTATAATTAAAAATTGAACAAAATCTCTGAATTTCTCTCATAGTAGGGGTCAAATGCAAGGAGATGGATAGGGTCCTGCATCTGGTGGAGCTTGCCATTCTTTGCTGGTAGATTTAATAGTTCCACTAAGGCAGAGTCTCTTAGGTATTTACACCTCTTTTTGCCCAAGTTGTGCTATAATAAAAAGCTTCATTCCTAGAGCCACTGGAATTCAGACCTCTCTGTGTCTCTTTTTGGCTAAATGTAGTCTCCCTTTAATAATCAGGAAACCCTACCATTTTATTAAAAGTTCATTTCTTTTTTTTCCTTACCAGGCTTCTCGCTCCAGACTGTGAAATCATACAGGAAGTGGGAAAACTTTATCCACTGGAGATAGTATTTGGAATGAATGGAAGAATATGGGTAAAGGCAAAAACAATTCAGCAGACTTTAATTCTGGCAAATGTTTTAGAAGCCTGTGAACACATGACAACAGATCAGAGAAAACAGATTTTCTCTAGACTGGCAGATGGCTAACAGATGTGGGTTTTAACGTGGACCAAAAGAGCCAAGAGACTGGATATCCTGAAAAAAACTTTTTTTACGTGAACCCTTCCCCATCACATATTCAAAAAGCAACATGATTGTACATATTCTCTTACTGGAATTCTAAAGGAAAATATTTTTTATAAAGCGTTACTAATTGTCACATATGCTGAGGAAAAAAAAACAAAATTATGCTTCTTTTTTTTGTTCTTTACAATGAATTTATAATAAAGATATATATCATGACTTACTAGGGGCTAACACTGTTGGTTTTGCTAGAGTACAGGTTTGATCATAAACTGGAGTCTGTGTTAAATCAACTTTTCTCATTTTGATAGTAAACATGTTTACCAAAGAAACCTTAGCGTATAAATGAACCTCCCTGTTGTCGAGTTGGAACTGACTCGCACCTGACCCTCCAGTGGGTTTCAGAGGTTCTACTTCGCATGGTGGATTGCTCAGCTTTTCTCTTGGAAGATTCACAAGACACATATCTTTTGGGTCAGCAGTGCGACTCATTACACTACCAGAGATCCCTCAGAATCTACTAACGAATAAGAAAATAAAAACTCTAATGTCTGTATGCAGGTGGTATTTATCATCTATCGCATATTAACTATATGCAGTATTTAGAAAACTGTTTACATACAAAATTTTTTTTTACAAAAAGTATATTTACAAAATAAAGTTTACAAAGTAAACTTAACTGTTTACAAAATTCTTTTTTACAAAAAGTATATTTACAAAATACTGCTCTAAGTGCTTTGGATTAACTTACTTCATATCTCTACAGAGGCAGCCTTATAATTAAAGAAACTGAAGCACAGTTTAACTTGTCTACATCTTGATATATGTGTATTATGTTTTTATAAATTGGAATTCTTTGACTATATATGACTTATATTTTATCCACTTCATGCAACGTGTAAATTTGTTAATGTCTGCTATAAAAATTCAGTCAGTAATTGTATAATTTATTGTTGTAGGATTTTTTTTTAAAGTCAAGAAAGGTAGTTTATTCTAACATGCTATCCAAAAAGTTGGTAAAGAGTAGGAGAACTGGACAGCCTAAAGGCCATTTAATCCCCAAACTACTGATAAGAGTATTTTTGCTATATCACACTTGTTCTTATATAAATAACACAATGATCTGCATCTCTGAATGCAAGCAAGCCTGTTCCAATCCTTCTTTGCTATAATAATTTACTGAGCGTCAAGCAGAAACCTACCTGTTGAAATTTTGGGGGTTTTTTTGAGATTTTGAAGGATAAAAAAGGGAAAGACTAGTGCAACAATGAATGAGTGGAAGCCCAAAATCTCTGTAAATGTTTATGAAAATTAATAAAATATAATTATAGAAAAAAAAAAAAGGGAAAGACTGAACTGGGGAGGAAATTATTTCATGGCATTCTTTGCAAAGCCTTTATAGAGAAAACTTTGCAGATGGTCAGTGGTTCTGAGGTCACAGGCATTATGGACTCCATTGAATCCTACCCTTAAGAAGTCCCTTTAAAATAACAGATTATGGAAGTCATTCAATATTTGATGAAGACTGGGGACTTCAGTAATCCTGAAGATGTGTTCTATATAAATCAAGAGTATACACCTGCTGACTGACCTGTTTTTAGATGAGCAAAACTCCACTCCTATGAATGATCAAATTACAGCTTCTGAAAGGTTAAACTGAAGGGGAGGGGATGGAGCAGAGAAATATCCTTTTTGGGTTTTTTGTGATAGTAAATTTACTGAATCTGCCAGCACATTCACTTAACAGTTTACTGACCCAAACCAGCAGGAGTAACAGCAGTCAATAGAACCAGAACGTAAGAAAAAGGAATCCGATTTGTGTAATGTGATGATGCTAATAAGTTCATGGGCCATACGGCATAATGCATTTTCTGGCTATTTCTAAATTAGGATTTTATCAGTTTTGTGTTTCTAATTGATCTGTTAAACCCCCAACAAATCTTCTTGAAGAATCTAATTTTTAAGATCCCCACAGGAAAGGGAAGAGAAGCCTCTAGCTACTCAAACAGAACAGGGAAGCCACAGGAAGGAACAGAACACGGTGCTTAGGGGTAAGGTCAGGATGGCTGGAAAAAGTCTTAAAAACTTTATGTCAGTTTAGTGACCACCAGATAGCTATATAGGCATAGTCTATAGGGAGCTAGGCTGCTGACCCATTGGTGGCACCTCTGGTGGTTCGAATCTCCCCGGAGCAGAAAGATGGGCAATCAAGTCCTAAAAGCCTCTTAAAGAAGGCCATTCATATTAAGTTTCCTTCAGTGCCAGAGGCACAAGACTCCAGTAATGATCTGTATGGGAAATCTCACTGTAGATGGTCAGGATGGAAAGAAAAAGCAGGCTGAGGGAGGAGCGATATACCCACGTGTGGTATCTAATAGAATTTCTCAAAGACCTAAGTGCACCTGATCCAGACCATGATCTTTTCAGTTACTATGCATCTGAAGGTTGGATACTGAATACAGATGAAAGAATAGCTGATGTCTTTGAGTTGTGGTGTTGGAGAAGAGTACTGAATATCTCATGTACTACAGAAAGGACAAACAAGTACATCTTGGAAAAGGTGCAGCCAGGGTACTCTGCAGACAAGGATAGTGAAACTTTGTCTGGCATACTTTGGGCACACTGGGAGGGACCAGTCCTTGGAAAAGGACATAATGTTTGGAGAGGTGGAGGGTCTGTGAAGGAAGGGAAGACCCTCAATAAGGTGGGTTCCACACTGACAGTAATGATGGACCTGAGTATGTCAGAGATGATGAGGATGACACTGGACAAGACAGGGCTCTACTGCTCATATGGTCGCTATGAGTGGTATTCGACTAGACGGCACTTAACAACGGACTGCTTGTATAAAAATCACTGGAGTAAACATCAAATAGAAATTTCTGGACTCCAAAAGAACCAAAACCCCTAAACCATTGCCATCAAGTCAGTTCTGACCCCTCAACCCTACAAGACAGAGTGGAAATGTCCCATAGATTCCAAGGTTATCTTTATAGAAGTAGACTGCCACTTCTTTCTCCCTAGGAGTAGGTGGTTCAAACTACCAACTTTTTCACAGACAAATGCTTCACAATTGCACTACCATCAGGGCTCTTCCTGGGATCCACTTCAGAGCTACTGAAAGGCAAGGAAAGGCAGAAGTTTTCACTTGAGCAAACTTCCCACTTTGCACCCCTGAGGATGAGCTTGTCTTGGGCCCAGGGTATTTATTTAACTTGAGCCCAGAGCCAGGCAAAGCAGCCACCTCTGCCCTGGGAATTCAGGCACTGCACTGTGTTGTTAAAACACCTGGCTCCACTGTTTAACTAGTTAATGACCTCAATCAAGCGTATCTTTTTTGAACCTTATTTTCTTATCTGTTTGGGGAGGGGGAGAACGTAATATAGTAATATATCTTCCTCACTGAGTTGCTGTCATAATAAAATGACAGAAAATCCTTAGCATTGTCTTGGAACATAGGAAGTATCCAATGGGCGTTAGCAAATTTTAACTACATGAGAAATCACTCCGGGAACAAAAACTCCCCAAACTCTACTGTGTCTGGTTTGCTTGTGTAGAGATTGCACAAGGCAGCTGCCATTACAGAGCTGATTCTCAAAGAGGTTATAGCTTGGGAAAGGATAAAAAAGACAAAATCAGCTCAATTATTAACATACAATGGCCACTCACTTTCACACTAGGACATTACCATTACTAACATGACCATTTATTGAGGATCCCACGCATCATCACTAGTTCTCAAAACTCTGAAAGGTAAGTGGTTTGATTTTCATTTCTCATTTTTATTTTTTTATAAGAAAAATTCATATTTATAATTAGCCAGATGGACTCAGTTTAGATGACTCCAACTTTGTTGGCAACATCAAATGTATCATAATTAGGAGCAAGTCGAACACAGGCCGCCTTCTCTCCATCAGGCCTAGTGAAGGTTTTGACCTTGGCCACCTCTGTCATAGAGCTTCTTTATAGTTTATCTGGTTTGGTGCTTATTGGCCTTGACATCCACAGTGAACACCAGCGTGTTTTTGTCTCTGTCTTCTTCATGGCTAACTCAGTGGTCAGGGGAAACTTGATGATGATATAGTGGTCCAGCTTGTTTCTTCTGGGGGTGCTCTTCAAGGGGTATTTGGGTTACTTTTGGCATCTCAGTGTCTTAGGCCACCAGAAGGTGGGTGGCATGCAGATGATCCTTTTTTTGTAGCTGTGGATGCCCTCATTACTGCCTTCTTGGCCTATAATGCCTTTGTTTTGGTTTCAGGTTTTGGCTTCCTTCTTTGCTTTCGGCATCATCCGTGTAGCTTCATTTCTTTTGTTTTTTTCCATTTCTCATTTTAAAACACTTGAGACTAGAGAGGAAAAACTGAGGCTAGATCAAATGCACCTGCTATCTGGACACAGGTTTTCCTGGTGCTTCCCATATCATGTTGATATTGCTGTGTACCACTGAAGCAGAACGGACTCAGCTGACCCTCCAGCAGGTTTGCAGAAACTGCATGTTGCACATGAGGAAAGTGCAACTCCTTACCCACAAGGCCACCAGGGCTCCATCCTGTCATACAAGGTATCAAACAAAGTATAAATGCTAAGAGTGAGGCAATGTGACCAAGTGGTCCCCAGACAAGGAGAATGGGCCACCTAGACCATGAGAGGCTTTCCCCTTAGCACAAAAGTACATCCTTTGGACTTCAGTCATTTGCCTCTTGGAACTACAGTCTCAGGCCGTCCATCATTCCACCGAGTTCTTAAGAACATAGCCTTTCCCAGAAGAAACTCCTTTCTTCAGTGCTTCAGCCCAGTTGTGAGTCTCAAAGTAAGTGGACAGGATATCAAACACTGTTAGAGGATAAACAAACAACATAGTGACCACAGAGAAGGAGACAAAACTAGTGTGAGAAATGGGGAGAAAGCATTCTCAAATATTTCCTTTAACAAACATACTCTGCATCAGACGTGACACTAGGTCCTCCAGCAACAGGGGCAAACAAAGACATGGGCTCTGCCTGCCCTCAAGGACCTCAGCCTGCACTGAGAGCACAGGCCTGTGATGAGCAATGCTATCCTGGCCTGACAGGGAACAGAAGTCAGCCAAGATGTCCTCCAAGGGGGGAGAGGGTAGGGCTTCTAGGCTAAGGCATTATTTCAATGGTCTTTAACAGAGTTGGGGGGAGGAGGGGAAAGGAAAAATGCCTCTCAGTGGCCAGAATACATGTCACAGACGCAAGCAATTTAGTCACAGGGAGACTGACCAGTTCTATTTAAACACAACACAAAGTGGTAGCACCAGAACAAATACTTGTTGGTTATGGATCATGTAAATACCTTGGTTGATAGCCAGTATCTCTGAGTGATAGTTTTTTTCATTCTTCCATCTGACCATGTATTCTTGGATTGGCAAGCGGGCTGTCTGGACAGAGTGTTCTCGGGCCTTTTGAAATGTCACTTTCTGTGAATACATGAATACAGTCTCACTGTAGCATCCATAATAAATCCTCATTTACCACTATTCCAATTTCTATCTGTTAAATATAAATAAAGGATAAACATACTGAGAATAAGTAGCATTGTGGCTGAATGGAAGAAACTGTGGATAACGAAGCATATTTACTTGTTGGAAGTTAAGAAATGGCTTGTGCAGTAACAACTTATTTCAGGATCGTTTATCCACTAGTCTCCACTCATCATCGCATCGCATCGCATCGCATTGCATCGCATCGCATCACATCACATTCATCAGGAAAAAAGCAAAAAGAGGCACCCTGGGAGCCACAACACCAAGTCCAAGGAGTCTAATCAATCAGAGGAAATCACCTCTAGCCTTCACTAGGAACAGGACGACTCTTTTCTGGATGTCTGCTTTTTCAGCCAATTGGTAGCAACAGCTTAGAGAAAAGGGAAGGCTGGCTTTAAGATAAGTGCATCATTGGCAACAAGGCAGTAGTAAGGTGTGAGCACAAACAGCCAGTTAAAAGGAAGGACTCTGAAAAGTGAAGGAGTCACAATTCAATGATCCAACTATCTGAGATGACTTAGAGTCATAATTCAGTAACTGACGTCCATTTATAAGAGGGCCTTGAATTGTGAACTGAAGTTGCATTTGCTACCTTGCAAGCAGCACTGGAAAGATTGTTACAATCTTAGGATTTCATGAGTAAAAGGAAAGGAAGGCTTAGACACTTCTTTTAAGGGATAATTAACAAAGTTAGGCTTGGAAGGACCCTCAAAAGCATATGTGACATTTTAATGGGATAGTTAAGAGCACTGTCTCTGGAGCCATACTGCCTGGGTTCAAGCACTGGCTCTGCTCCTTACCATATACATTTGTGAAATATACCCACAAACACATGTTCGTATGATCAAAAGAATATCTCAGGAAAGACAAAGAGGAACTGTGGTGGCCTCTGGGGTAACTGGAGGACAAGGGTGGGAGGGAGACAAACTTCTCATTCTATTCTTTTATAAATTTTATCTAGTCTATCATGTGCATGCAAAATCCGTTAACTGTTGTTATTATTATCAGGTACACTGAGATGACTGCAACTCACAGTGACCTTCTGCACAAGGTTGAAACATTGCCTGATCCTGTGCCATCCTCGCAGTCTCCACTGTGCTTAACCCACTGCTGTAGTAACTGTGCCTGTCTATGTTGTTAAAGGTCTTCCTCTCTTTCTCTGACCCTCCAAGCATATACTTTTCCGAGGATTGGTTCCCCTTGATAACATGCCCAAAGTATATGAAATCTTATCACCTTTGCCTCTAAGGACCCTGGTTGCACTTTTTAAAAATCTTAACAATTTTATAAGATAAATGTATCACAAAACTCCACTGACATTCAAATCATTCTAATAAAGCTCTTACTTCAACAAAAGAAATCGAGGCATTCCTAATGAATTTAAGTTTATAAGACATCAGCAAGGAAGTTGATCTGTGAAAGGCAAACTACTTTCTCACTAAGAACAGTGAGTAAGAAAGATGCTGCATTTAATGGCATTCTTTGGTCAAGGATAGGAATAGCTTTGCAGAACTGAAGAGGGTGAGAACGATGAAGTTCAATGATGATTACTTAGGTCATTACCAAATCCTCTCACTCCAATTCGGATTCTTCATTCCATTATGTCTGAGATTGCTCAATTTGTTGATCTAAGGGGGAAGGCCAACCTGGGGACAACAGGATCCTCCAGCTTGTTCCTTCTCAGTCCTCTGGATAAGATTTTGACTGGGCAGGCACCTTTATTATAAGTGCCACCTTTCTGACTAGATGGTTATTGGGTTGGGGACATCAAGGTCACCTGGAATAACACAGACTGGAGGCTTAAAAACTTGTGAGTAGCCATCTAATCTGCCACTGTTGGTCTCTCCATCTTGGAACAAAGAAGAGGGGGGAAAAAACAAAGATGTGTAGAAACAATTACTGCAAAGGACTAAAGGACCACATGAACCTCAATTTCCAGGACCCTGAGACCTAGAAGAGCTAATTGGTGCCTGGCTACCACCAGAGACCATTCTGAAAGAGACTGCCCTCAAAGATCCTGAATAGAGTAAGGGGAAATGTAGTATAAAATTCTGAAATATAAACAAAGCCCAGGCTTCTTGCTCTGATAGAGACTGGCTGAATCCCTGAGACTATGGCCCTTGGTCATCCTTCAGACTTGGAACTAGACCGATCCCTGTGGCTCTTACAGCTAACCAACAAACAGGCCAGTAAGGATTGGTAACACCAGGGAGGCACTCTCTCCTTAGAATAACCAACCATATAACATCAAAAGACTGCATTTTCCCCCCAAGGATAAAGTCTAGGAGGCGGGAAGGGGAAGGACACAAGGATTAATAATGTTAATAGAACTGACTCACAGCTGACCCTCCAGCAGATTTTTAGAGACAGCAAATCACATGGAAGGAGACTGCCCATCTTTCTTCCATACAGCAGCTAGTGGATTTGAACCACATGCCTTTGGGTTGGCAGCACAACTCCTTCCCACTAAGCCACCACAGCTCAGAAAGATTAAGAGAGATGAGAATTATAGGGAAGAAGTAGGAAAAGTGTGATTACAATGTTTTACAATGTTGTAAAATATCATGTGTGAGTGCCTGAGTGGTTGAATGAAACACCAATTTGCCTTATAAACTTTCACACAAATCTCAATAAAGAAATAAAAAAAATAAAACTGTTGGCCCTAATATGGTACACTCACCTTCTGAACACTTTCATCCACAAGTCCACCAAGAACGTAAACCTTGTTAAGATCAACATCTTCAAGAGCTAATGGGAAAAGAAAGACCATTTAGGAGGGTAAAATCCAGCTTTATAATGTCTAAATCCAAGGAAAGGAGAAGAGAATTAAAATAGAAATGTAATGAGATTCAATACACAAAGACAGACTTGCTCATTAAAACCACAAGCTACATCTCTGAAAAGCCCAAGAAAACAGATGCACCACTATTCTAGCTAATGAAGAGAAAAAAGTATCCAACTCAAATAAAAATTGGTACTCAGAAAGAGGACAAAATAAAAGTTATACAGAAACACAAAACAGCTTGAAGAGAATTGTGTGATCAACTTACTGCCAAGAGATTTGAAAATTCTGCAAAACAGATCATTTTATAAGAATAAATACTGACACATGTGTGTAAATATAGATAGATATACATACATATATATGTATATCTATCTATATTTACACACACACACAATAACATAGAAGTATGGAAGGGCTGACAGAGGAAACTGGAAAGGGCCACCAGTAACCATGAAACATGGTCCAGTTGAAAAATGGGGGTCCTAAATCTACACTGCTGTGTGCATACTCAGGACGTGTACAAAGCAGGCAGTGAGATTCTGCCCTTAAGAGATGTGCAATTAATGACTGTTGCTTTTTTTTATCAATTACTCTTTCGGTGACTATAACAAACTTGGCTGCAAGGAACAATGGGACTGAGGGTTGAGAACAGTGTGTCCCACACAGTAAGAACATACCATGTTCAGAGTCAGGAGTCAGGTACACAAGGGACTTCAGAGGAAATAAACTAAAACAGTCTTCTTCTGTTATGTCCAGCTGAAAAGGAACACAATGTAGTGAGAACTGGGAGAACATGCAGCCTGCACTGCAACAACTGGTTACTACTGGGCATCTAGTTCCCATCACACCTGGCTCCGAGAGCCACGTGTATGACAGCCACTGCACAGAAAGGGCTTAGCTGAAGAGGAAATGAGGCAGAATGTAATATAGAGGCACACGGAACAAGCCCTCAACTGCAGCTGAGGGAGTTACAACACCAGGGAGGGACTTCTTGTGAAGGTAATGGTCAAGCTGGGCTTCTGCAGAGATGAGAGTGCCCTTAAAAGCACTCAAAGTAAAGAGAATTGCCTAAATAAGGCAAGAAGACAGGAACACAAAGAACTATGTGCCCCTACAGGTCTGTTTGGCTACGTACGGGAATCATAAAAGAAGAACTGAGTGAAGCTGGAGATGGCTGCACTGCAGGAGAGACTGTTAAAGACAGCAGCAGCAACCACAGCTAAGTGCAGAGCACCACGAAGTGCCCTCGATGCACTGTCTCCACAGGCACCCCCAGGAAGGCCAACAAAGTCCAAGCTCTTTGACACACACACACAGGGCATTCTTAGCAGCTCTGCTTGGGAAGAGATCTGCATTCCCATCTGCGCAACTACCACTACAACTATGACAACCTACAGAGAGAGCTGAGGGGTACATCAGCATTCCATTCTCCCATTCACACAGACACCGATACTGAGTCTCAGAGAGGCTGAATCACCTGTTTAAGATCACAACTTAGAACCCAAGATTCCAGTCAAGCTGGATACTGTCACCCACAGCTTCCCCCTAAAATTCATCTTAAACCTCATCTCTTCTAAAAACTGAAAATTCATGGACCTGGATAGGGAAGGGCTCAGATCTATTGTTCAGTCGCTGGGAGCCATACTCTATTCGACAACACCTAACCACAATCAACAACTCTGCAGTATAAAAACAGGAACATTTTCAGTCATGGCATTTCCAAAAAACTTTATTCCTAGAGGATATCGTCTTGCATACAATCTGCTGTTGTTAGGTGCTACCAAATCAATTCCCACGCAGGTACTCCATGTGACAGGGCAGAGCTAGTGTCCTGTGGGTGTTTCTAGGCTGTCATTTTTATATGAGCAGACTGCAAGGTATTTTTCCCACAGAGCTACAGGGTGGGCTTCACCTGTCAACAACTTTTGGTTAGCTGACAAAAGCTTACCTATTTGCCACAAGGACAAACAGTATGTAAGGTATAAAATACAATGAAATTGGTTTTCCCTTGCAGTGGGAGGATGAGGGAACTTTTTACATGTGAGAGCTGATGAGAGATTCTGGATTTTTAAAACTTCCCATAGTAATAGTAAATATTTCAACAGTACATAATTCACATTTTTCACACCAAAATGGGGAAAAAAGTAAAAAAAAATATATAATTTATTATTACTGTACAATCATTTTTAGGTGAAAATTAAAATAAAACACAAAATGGAGACTCACCACATAACTAGAAAATCCATCATTCATCCTCAGACACTCTTCATACAGGGGACTATCTGTTGGGAAGCCAGTGAGGTAAATCCAAAACGGCTTGTCTGCTTTTTTATTTGAACCATATAACCTTCGGATCTGTCCTGCCAATCTGCTTAATTCCTTCAAAGAAACAAAGACAATGCAGGATAAAATATTGGCCTACTCACTCTAAACTACCAGCAAATAGTTGCTCAGCAAGTTGTCGGAATACTACTTAGGACCTGGGACAGCCCCTTTCTGAAGAGAGTATGTGGGTGTGTGAGCACGGGGTACATCACATCTCACAGATCAAAGTTAACGGGATGATACTAGCCCAGAAATGGCTAATGGAAAACCTGAGAATTCTCCCTAATTCTTTTCCTGCTGTCGTGCTACTTCCCACAATTTCTAATAGGATCTTTGAAACTGTCATTTTAGCAATTCTCTAAATCTTTTGTGAACCCGTGCCCCTCTCCAAGGAACAGCCTTTTATTGGACTCAGATCAAATGAATAAGGCAAAAAATTACTACTTAAATTGAAGAAGGTCTACTCTCTTTCAGATTTTTTTCACAGTAGCCATCTTGGAACTCAGCAGTGCCGTGCAGAAAACCAAACACTTGGCTGCTTTACTAAGGAATCGCAGAACCTGGCAGGTCGTGCTTTTTGGGAAAGCTACTCCTTCCTACAAAGATATCATTCAGGAAGAGTGTAAACGGTCATTACAAAGACAGAAGAGGAAGAAAAGACCAAAATGGATGTCAGAAGAAACTCTGAAGATTGCACTGGAGCGTAGAGAAGCCAAAGCACAAGGAAGAATTCAAGATACTTAAGGGCTGAACAGAAGATTCCAAAAGGCTGCTCGGAATGACAAAGCAAAATACTACAATGAAATGTGCGAGGAACTAGAGTCAGAAAATCAAAAGGGCCAAACTCGCTCAGCATTTCTTAAGCTCAAGGAACTGAAGAACAGATTCAAACCTAGAGTTGCTGTAATCAAGGATGCTTCGGGCAGAATATTAAATGATCCAGGAAGTATTAAAAGGAGATGGAAGGAATATACTGAGTCATTATATAGAAAGGAATTGGCAGATACAGAGGAATTTAAAGAAATAACATATGAGCAAGAGCCTATGGTGATGAAGGAAGAAGTTCAAGCTGCTTTGAAGGAAATAGCAAAAAATAAAGCCCCAGGAATAGATGGTATACCAATTGAAGAATTTCAGATAACAGATGTTGCCCTGGATGTGCTCACCAATCTGTGCCAAGAAATCTGGAGAACAACCACTTGGCCAACTGACTGGAAGAGATCTATATTTGTTCCCATTCCAAAGAAAGGTGACCCAACTGAGTGTGGAAACTACAGAACAGTGTCATTGATTTCACATGCAAGCAAGATTCTGCTGAAGATCATCCAAAAACGATTAGAACAGCACATCAGCAGAGAACTGCCGGAAGTCCAGGCTGGGTTTAGAAGGGGTCGTGGTACTAGGGATATTGTTGCTGATGTTAGATGGATCTTGGCTGAAAGCAGGGAATACCAGAAGAATGTCTATCTGTGTTTCATTGATTATGCAAAGGCATTTGACTGTGTGGATCATAACAAACTGTGGCTGACTCTGAGAAGAATGGGAATCCCAGAACATTTAATTGTGCTAATGCGAAACCTATACTTGGACCAAGAGGCAGTAGTCAGAACAGAGCAGGGTAACACTGCATGGTTCAAAATAGGGAAGGGTGTACGCCAGGGATGCATCCTATCTCCATACCTTTTCAACATGTATGCAGAGCAGATTATCCGAGAGGCTGGGCTCTATGAGGAGAATTGTGGCATCAGGATTGGTGGAAGATCTATTAACAATCTCCGTTATGCAGATGACACAACCTTGCTTGCTGAAACTGAGGAGGACCTCATGCACTTGCTGCGAAGGGTCAAGGACTGCAGGCTCAACGTCAAGAAGACAAAGATTCTCGCCACTGGACCAATTGGCAGTGTCAGGATGGATGATGAAGAGATTGAGAGTGTTCAGAGCTTCAGTTTGCTTGGCTCCACAGTCAACACTCTTGGTACCAGCAGTCAGGAAATCAAAAAGCGTATCGCGATGGGAAAGTCTGCCATTAGGGACCTCTCAAACGTGCTCAGGAGCAGCAGTGTCTCTCTGGAGACTAAGGTGCGCCTGATACAGGCCATGGTATTTGCAATCGCTTGTTATGCATCAGAGAGTTGGACAATGACTAGGGAGGACAGAAGGAGAGTGGATGCTTTTGAGCTGTGGTGCTGGAGAAGGGTACTGAATGTACCCTGGACTGCCAGGAAAACAAACAGATCCATCTTGGAGAGGATTAAACCAAGCTGCTCCTTGGAGGCAAGGATTCTGGGGCTTCATCTGACATACTCTGGACATGTTGCCAGGAGGGACGGGTCCTTGGAGAGGGACATCATGCTTGGGAGGGTGGAGGGACAGCGCAGGAGGGGAAGACCCTCTATGAGATGGATTGATTCGGTGACTGGGGTAATCGGGATGGGTGTGTCAGAGGCGGTGCGGTTGGCGCAGGATAGAGCAGGGTTTAGAGCTGTTGTGCATAGGGTCGCTATGAGTCAGAAACGACTCGATGGCACATAACAACAACAACAACTCCTTCCTAGGCCTCCCTCCTTTCGCAGGAGTCTGGGGTGTGGTGAATGTTTTACCTTCTTAGACATATGGTCGGTCATACTCAAATCAACAGAGAGTTTTGGTCCTGAATGTTTGGCTTCCAAAAGTCTCTCTTTGGTTAAGGTTCTCAGAAAACGTTTGCTGTGCTGAGGACAGATACCTAAAACACGAAAACCAGAAAGGATTAAAAGTAGGAAAACAGAGAAATAATATTCAGCAAGAAACAAATTTCTCCAGCTAGAGGTATAATTATACATAGAAAGAGACACTTGGGAAAGACAAGCCACACAGTCACTAGGTTTATGCACACTGGAGTGAGCTCTAGAGCTGACTGCAGGGTTCAAATTTAATTCTGTCATGTATTAACTTTACGTCTTTTGTATGCTTCTGAGTCTGAGGCTCAGTCTCTTTTACCTACAGAATTCTGTAACAATCTACTAGGGTAATCCAAGTAAAGTCTTCTTACTGAACCTAACACGTAACTGTGAATAAAGACAGCTGTGGTTGGCCTCATTCCTTTACTCCTAAGCTTATAAAAACTCAGGTTTACTAGATATCTTATATCTGAAAAGGAGCCTTAAATTTGGGGTTGATTATTATATACTCATCAACCAGGACAATGGTCCTTCCAGATGTCTATTGTCAGTTACATGACTTTCCTCCTTTCCTAAAACATGCAGACATCACTTTGCTATGAAAGAAATATGGTTAATCCAGCAATTGGTTTTCTTCTTACCTGGATTTTCAGCACGACTGGCTTTCCTTCTTTCTTTTTCTTGCTTTCTTTTACTCTTCTTTGCTGCAACTATCTTTTCCCAGTGTTTCTGTTTTCTCTGCACATTTTTCTTATGTTATCCAGAAAACAAAATTGTTTGAGAACTTCATAAGCACCCAAAAGGAAAATGAGTATTAGAAACAGTTATTTCTTCTTTTATCTTTCTCTTCATTTAAAGTTAGGAGAGAAAAAAGGACATTAGTCTTAAAAACAAACCTAGATTATATTTAAAAACAGAGCCCCAGAAAAAAGAGAAAACTTTCCCAAGATAAAATTTAATTTAATTTAGGCATTAAGAGTTTAGGTTTTCTGACTCATAATAGTTTTCCTATGATTCAACTTACAGAAGCCCTGGAAGCACAGTGGTTAAGTGTTGGGCTGCAATTAACGAAAAGGTTCAATCAGGAGATAAGGAGATGCACTGTGTTAGGTAAGTCTGCTCTCAAGGAATTCTCCAAAATTCTGAAGAGCAATCCTGTCAGTTTGCAGGATAAGGTACACCTGACTCGGGCCATGGTCTTTTCAATTATTTACTATGCTTCTGAGAGCTAGACATTTAATAAGAATGAAAGAATAAATAACTGAGGCCTTTGAGCTGCTTCTTTGAGAAGAGTACTGAACATCCTATGGACTGCCAAAAGAACAAACGGTTTATCTTAGAAAAGGTGCATCTGGAGTGCTCTTTGATACCTTTTAAAAAAAAATTTTAGTCTGATTTATTTACAAAGTTTGAATACATTGTTTTTTACAAAAGATCCTTCCCATTTCCTTCACCCCATCCAACCTTCGAATTGTGCAACCATGCTACTCTCTCACCCCTCCTCACCCCTCTATTTCCACTCAGGTGCTCTTTGGAGGTAAGGATGGCAAAGCTTCATCTCTCATAGTTTGATGGAAGGGTGGAGAGTCAGTGAAAAAGAGGGAGAAGTCCACTGAGGTAGACTGACACAGTGACTGCAGCAATGGGCCATAGTATATCTGAGACGGTGAGGACGGAACAGGATAAGGCAAGAGTCATATCTGCTGTTCATAGGGTGCTATGAGTCATACTCAACTCGATGGCACCTAACAACAGCAGCTGCTTTATGGGAAAAAGGAGCAACCAGCTTCTATAAAGATTTGTAGCCTTAGAAACTGTATGGTGTGAAAAGGTCATTATAATTAGAATTGACTTGATGATAGTGGGTTTGTTTTTTTTGGGGGGGGGTCTCACTCCTTTCTAACAACTGAAATGGAACAGAAACTTCAGTCAATTAATAAAATGGATCACCTGGACTAATGTAAAATTCACTCTCAGTCTCTCTTCTTACAACTGTAACCTACTGTTAGAGTAAGGACCTCTCATCATAAAGTCTGGGGAAAGCCCTGCACTCACCGAGCACCAGGCTGCACCATCTTCGGGCAGGGGCCCCCTCTCTCGGCTCTCACATTCCACATCAATCTGTAGAAGCTGAAAGCTTTCAGAGATGCCATCTTCACCTGTGTCCTCTATGATGTCTTCTTGGCTCAGCAGACCGTGGGACTCCGTTTTCCAAGCACTTCCTTCCAAATTCCAGTCCATGTGCTCAGTTTAGTCCTGTCTGTTGACCTAGGTTAGGAGGGGACATGGGGGCTAAAAGTATGGTAATGTGAAATGTTACATCATTTCAAATACATAAGTATCTCCCTATATCCAAATGAAAATTACTAAGAGTATAAAATAGAGATCTAAATTTATTGTATTGAAGCACATGTGTACTTGCAGAAAATGCTTCAGACAGAGAAACATTCAGTACCAAGTAGCTAAATACATTTCTTACAGGATAAGCACAGTTCCTGACACTTAACCAAGTAATTTATTGTGTTCTTTGAAATTAATGATATGATTTGAGGGTGAGAAAGCAACAGCAAGTCACCTCCAAAGTTCTATTTCAAAGCAGATTTTCAAAATAGCCCCTTTAGCAAATGCTTACTGAGCACCTAATATATGTAAGGGTCTGTGCTTGAAACATGTTGGAAAAATGAAGAGTTAGCCAAAAACTATGACAAGTGAATTCTTCTAGGTTGCTGATCATGTATCAGAACTGGTCTTTAAAGTTATATATTCTATCTTCCCATCTAGTTGAGTATTACTGCAGCAAAAAGCCAGTCACCAAATGAAATCTATAACATCTCTCATAAGTGCTGATTTAGAAAAAATATGGAACCAATGAATATTACAACACATTTCAACACAGGTATTACTAAATCACCCATATCCTTCATGGAGTTTATTTCATCTAAGCTGTCATTTTTACACACACTTACTCACAAATAATGTGCAATAATCTACATGAACACTTATGAGAGATGTTAAAGAGAGAAGGAGAACCGATGCCTTTGAGCTGTGGTGCTGGAGAAGAGTACTGAATATACCATGGACTGTTAAGAGAACAGGTATGTCCAGAAGGGGAAACCAGGCTGTTCCTCAGAAACAAGAATTCTGAAGTTCTGATAAGGGACTTATATCCAGAATTTATGAAATACTTGAGAATCACAGCAAGATAAAGGTAAAGAATCCAACAGAAAAATGGGCACAGGATATGAACAGGCACTTCACCGAAGACGACATTCAGATGGCTAACAAGCACATGAAGAAATGCTCGAAATCCCTAGCCCTAAGAGAAATGCAAATTAAAACAACTATTAGATATCATCTCAACCCAGTCAAAATAGCAAAATTTAACAGAACAGCAAGCAACAAATGCTGGCGAGGTTGTGGAGAAACTGGAACCCTGATTCACTGTTGGTGGGAGTGTAAAATGGTGCAACCCCTGTGGAAAGCAGTATGGCGCTTTCCCAAAAAGTTGCAAATAGAGATACCATTTGACCCAACAATTCCACTACTGGGAATATACCCTGAAGAGACCATAGCTGACATCCAAGCAGATATATGCACACCCATGTTTATTGCAGCTTTGTTCACAATAGCAAGGAGTTGGAAACAACCTAAGTGCCCATCAACAAACGAATGGCTAGAGAAGCTGTGGTATATTCGCACAATGGAATACTACGCTGCATTGAAAAACAAGGAACTCATCCAATATTATTCAAAATGGTTGACTCTGGAGAACATTATGCTGAGTGAAATATCCCAGTCACAAAAGGACAAATATTGCATGATGCCACTGTTGTAGAATGGGACTAACCTCGGGGTTGGGGAGAGACTGAGTAAGATGGGTTCAATAATGTATACTGCACTGAAACAGAGGAGGGAGAAAACTGTTTAAAAGAGATATGTGACTAGGTATTTCTGTCATGACAGGAGTCTAGAGCGATGGCTACATGGTGGAGGGGACCTGGGGGAGGGTTTGTAAAACAATGAAAGAATCTTTTACTTTTCCATAATTTTTGACTCATGTACTTATAACTTGTTAGTTAAATTTGTGTCTTCTAGGTTGCAACACCCCCATGATACATCTTCAAGGATATGAACATGTACTGCTAAGCACAATTAATAACAGTGCATCTAAATTCCAAATTCAATCTCCATAATAGTCTATGTGTTTCCTACTGCCAAAGGGGCCCTTTAGAGTAGTGAGAGAAGACCTTTACCCTGAAACCCACAGCGTCCCTTTTCAGCAGGAAGTAGCTAAGAGAATACGCCATCCCCTTTCCCTTATGAATCAGGGTGAAGTCTCTCTCAGGGAGGAGTGATAGGGAATGGCAAAGAATACACTGACAAAGGAGATTAATCAGAACTGGCTTTGACAAGCACTGTGGCAATTGGACAATTAAAACAGACATTCGGAGGGCGGGAGAACAACAACAAACTGGGGAGGAGGGTAGAGAGAATGGCACAGCAATGAAGGAATGAAAACCCAAAATCCCTGTAAATATTCATTAAAACTAATAAAATTTAATAATAAAAAAATAAAATGACATTTAACAAATTAGAAAAAAAATAAAGATGCTTCAGTTATTAAAAAAAAAAAAGAAAAGAATTCTGAAGCTCTGTCTGATATAGTTTGGGCATGCTGCAAGGAGGGACCAGTCTTCAAAGAGGGATAATATGCTTGGGAGGGTGGAGGGACAGTGCAGGAGGGGAAGACCCTCAATGAGATGGACTGACTAAGTGACTGGAGTAATGAGTGTAGGTACGCTGGAGATGGTGAGGTTGGCTCAGGATAGAGCAGGGTTCAGAGCTGTTGTACATACAGTCACTATGAGTTGCAGGGGACTCAATGGCACATAACAACAACAACTCACAAATAGAATCTTTTTAATGTCTATAGGATCTACAGTGATGACTCCTACTTTACTTCTGAGTTTATACATTGTATCTGGGTTTCCCCTTGATTTGTACAGAGTGGACTTACCAATTTTAAGCTACTCTTTTCAAAAGAATCAATGGTATCATTACTTTTTTTTCTTAATTCTTTTGGTATCATTACTTTTTACCCATTATTTACTCATTTCCTATTTCCCTGAATTCTGCCATTTATTATTTATTTCCATTTTTCTACCGTCTTTGGGTTTAATATGTTCTTTTTTCTACCTTCCTAAGGTAAAAGTTAAAGTCATTGATTTTAACCTTTCCTTCTTTTTACATTTGTATCCTCAGTGACTAAGACCTGATACAGAATGGAAGCTGAATAAATGCTGACTAGAAAGCTGCCACCTAAGGAATCACAAAAAACAATGGTGAAGTTCACTATTTTTAATGGTATGTGAACTTTCAATCCTTCATTTTTTAAAAAAACCCTTCTCTTAGCCTCCATGTCCTGCACCTGGGCATTGTGTCTATTCAACTAAGGTATCCAATCATTCATCAAGCTTTCAGTAAGCATCTGCCACAACTGAACATGGTGGTTTGGGATGACATTCCTCCTGCCTTTCTGAAGTTCTAATTATGTGACTTAGTCCTGCGTAGTGGTTGGGCTGTCCATGGTCCCTCGACAGATTTTTTATTTTATTTTATTATTTTTCGTGTGTGTGTACGGTCAAATTGGATCTGACTGGTACAGGAGGAGATTGTCCCTCCTTCTCCAGCAGAGATTCTGTTGGATTCAAACCGCGCGCCTCTGGGATTGCAGTGCAGCTTCTTGCCACTAGGCCCCCTATAGATTTTTATACTCTAAGACTTTATGCCTTCCTGAGATGAGAGGATCGAGACCTCTCACCTCTCTAGTAATAAGTACTGAATCCCACAGATAGAAGCATCATAAATATTTAAGAATCATGCCACTCTCCTATTCAGAACCCTGCAGTTCTCCATTTCATTTATAGTAAAAGCCAAAAATCCTTATGGCCTTTGCTGCGCATTAAGATCTTTCCTCTCCAACCTATTTCTCGCTGCATTCAACGGCTACTTGTTCCTTAAACTTCCCAGGACAGCCCCACCGCAGGGCATCTGCACTTGCTCGTCTTTCACTCGCAACGCTGTTCTTCCACACACGACTACCTTTTGCACTTCAGTTCTGCACTATGTATTTTGCTTATTTTATTTGCTGTGTAACTTTGCTGGCCCGCTCCCAAGCCCTGGAATGTAAACCGGTTCTGCTCACTATAGCATGTGCTCCTTTTTTTTAAAAAAAGAAATAACATTTAAAAGGCCCACTACATCGTAAACACTGAACACATACTGACCGAATTCATGAACCCGTCACCCTCTGCAATCACTGGGTTGAGTTCAGACCTTTCCAGGCCAAGTCCCACCTGATGCACGTATGTGCGGGGCTGCATAACCAACCAATCAACCTCTCGTTGCATGCTTCTCTCGTTCCCTCCTCAAACCCCTCATTCTACGTTTGAATCAACTGGAACGTGCTCCACTCCTCTGGCTCCTTCTGCACTTAACACCCAGACTTCAGCTCCAGGAGTCCCCGGCGGTGACACTTAGATTACTCTCAGGTTGTGTGCGAAGGGAGGAGGTGAGTCAAAGAACTAGAAAGACGGACTTCCTTGGGCTAAATAACTAGTAAATGACGTGTCCCTGGCATTTGCCCTCTCTCAAGTGAGGTAGTCGTCTCAGGGTGATCCCTAGCCCTCAAACCAAAGAATCCGGAGCGCACTACCTTACCTTCCCTCAGCACGAGGTAGCTCCATCCATAGATCGCAGGCCCCGCCTCCCAATCACTTCCGCTTCCGGGGCCCTCTGAGAAATGCATCTTGGGGATTGTAGTTTTTTCAGACTGACAGCTCTTGGCGTGCGGGGGGCGGGGGCTGCCAGAAAGCCTACAGAGGCTTCCTCTCCACACCTTGTCTCTGGGTAGCTGCGTCCCCTCTGGAGTGTTGGCACCACTCTCCAAATTTCAGTTCCCCATATGCGTTAGATGCGGTGGAGTCGCAACAGAATGAAACTAGGAGGGATCCATCCTGGCTCTGCGTCCAGTTCCAACCTCTTGCTGACTTAAAAGGGCTCCTATGAAACAAACCTTGCGCATTGTTGTCTGTCAAGAATTGAGTGTTGGAAACTGGACTGAGAGCAAATTTCGAACACGATGTCCTTCCCTGGCCACTCCACAACCTGAAGGATTCTCCTGTTGACAGAACACTTTCCTACTGCCTGGTTGACATCCAGACTCATCACGTGGAGCTATC